TTCATAAAGAGTTTAACTATAGTGTTAGTCAGTCGGGTACTCTAATTTTTTTTTTTTAAAGATATATATTTATTCACTTAAACATAACATGAGATATGCGGAAATGACTTTCGCTCCAAGTAGCAATTGTTTTGAATAAAGTGGATCGAGCAGATTCAGTCTCAACATTCTTATCAATTGCTTTTGAGAAAATGAAAACATTACAGGCCTACGCTAAACTCAACTATCAATTAATATTTTAATTTCTACGATTAAGAAATTGTCATAAGTTTCTTATCTCTTCCAAATGTTTTGTGATGAACACATAATAAAATTGTTTTGATTTAGTCTGAAGTTGTCATCGTTTGAACTCGGTTTATTGTTTCTACGCTCCGGACGAAAAGTTAAACTTTTTATTAAAGTATCTATTAGTAAATAGAATCGCAGCAAATTACATCATACACGGATTCTAAACAATTATTAATAAACAAAAATGAAGATAATTTCTTTACTGTTAATAGCATTTATCACATGGCTGGATTGCAGTCAGGCCCACATTGCTAATATGGTTTGCTTCTATGACGCAACAAATGCACAGAAAGGTAAGACCGAATGCAGAACGTAAAAATTTCAAATAAATATTTTGAATTGCAATTAATTAATAGTAAAATGAGTTAGTTTATTATATGAAAACGATATGACAATTATACTAATTTGTTATTATAACTGGTATAACCCATGTTGTTCTACTAAACTTAAGTAAAACCAACCTAATACTTCCCTTTTTCATACAAAGGGTGTATTTATAAATGAAGAAATTAGCATCGATATTGACCGGTAGCGTCTACAGGACCGTCTTTAAACCCACTAATGTGATCGTAAAAATTAATTATGAATTCGCAATTCAAATATAAGTGAGAACTATAATGTTTCAACATTAAATTAAGAACTATTGGTAACTAATCATCTATATTCTTCTTTCAGTATTTGAGTCAAAGATATATAAAACTTAATTAAATGAAAAGCAATAATAAATTAATTGAATAAATCTAAAATTTAATATACAATTATTATGTACTAAAACTGTCTTGTTAGCCGAGAAACAAATTGCAAGAATGAAAATAAAATCTATTGCACTATCAGCTCAAATACGAAGGTTATCATATTTCATTGATCTAATTCTGTGAATATTAATTCAAAACATAATATTTATTAAAAAAAATACAAAACTTCTCTTCCATTACGTAGACATACAGGGATATATAGATGGAGGGGCGGTTTCTCAAAACAAATCCAAATTTTATGTGAAAACATTTAATTGAAAAAAATTTCATGTGTGATGTACCATATTTCGACATATTTTATGAAATTGGAATTCCAAATCTCTCTTTCGTATACGTCACTGTAGATACCTCTTCATTGCTATTATATTAGATTTAAAATTTGGGACTTTCGATTTTGAACTTTTGATCAATAAAAAATTAATCACCGGATAACAATATTTGGATTTAAGAAAAACTATGCAGTTCATATGAAGTTGAATTTAGGTCCTGTATATTAAGTCAATACTTTACCTATGTACCATAAACTATATATACCACTCTACGCAAGTATATATAGTTTTAATAGTTTTGTTTCCACATATATTTTTTTAAATATCGGTTTTTACATATTTATGATATGTCAGAGAAGAGAGATAACTGTTTGATCAACTTATTGTAATATAGGTGCTACATATTGTCGAATATTTCATTCGTGCCGACTTACCGTTATATCATACCGGATTCATAATTTATCATTTTAAAAAACTTCATACAAACAACTTAAACACCCAGAGTATTATTTCTCTGGTAAAAAACAGTTAAGGATGTATCATTAGTTCCAAGTTATCAACTCTGTGCATAGCTTCGTTATATGTCATAGCATAAATTTTTTCCACATTTCCTTAAAAGATTATGTTGTGTTAAGTGTTGTTTAACAAATCACAACTACACAGCAATTAGATATTAAGATTTATAAAAAATTTAATAAATTTAATTGGGTTACATTATGTTGATTCTATTGATTTGATTGTCAACGTAATCCACCTATAAACCCTACTATTTTGAATGTAAATGCAAAATTTAGATCAAATGGTATTGTTGTAATGTCAAGAACCTAACCTATCAAAAATGTAAACATACTATTAAATAATCTTGAACCAAAGTGTGGAAAAAAAATCGAATACAATCTATTAGACCTCATTGTCAACAACTTAAACTGTCTCATAATATCACAAAGAGTACTCTTTGTACAGGTTAGCATTATAAAATGTATAAAATACAATTAATCTAAGAAACATAATCATTAGATATATATACAAATTTTGCAGACTGGGCTTTAAAGCAATATGTCATAAACAAAATTATTTCCTGCTATGAAAATCTCTACTAGTTAAATAAATTTGTACATAAACAAAATTGTCCTATTTCGAGCGAAGAAACCTCACTATTTACTCATGAGATCCATTTAGATTTAAAGAAATTAAACATTATTAGTGGTTATTGATCTAGAGATGTTATTAGATATTTATTTCTTTGAGAATAAAAATAACGTTGGAGTTCCAATCACTAGAGAAATCACAATAATTCTGATTGTCGTTTCCACAAAAATTGTTAAGAACTTATAGTTCTTTTTCGATCACTCTATGTAACACCTATGAACCTTACAAGGTTCATGAAGCTTCAGTAGCATAGAAAATGGATCATTAAAGAGATCCAATCAAACACATGAGTTATAATTGATTATATATAATACGTAGTTAAAGTAATTAAATACCTTGTTTCTTACTTAATACACTGCATATAAGTCACAAAGATACAAAGACATCAGATCCATCATATTATAAAGCCCCGTATTCAATTATTCTTAGTGTGACTTAAAACTGTCCACAGATAAAATAGAGTAAAGGTGCTGATTCACCAACTCAGACATCTGAATATCAACTTAACACTGCATATAATTTGTTATGCCGTATAAATATCCATAAGTATACATGAAGACCATAGTAATGCTATTTTTTAGCTCTTTTAGAAAGTAAATACCCATTCTCAGCCTCATTTATGAAGCGACCATTAGTGCTAATTATATAAATATTTATATCTATTTAAATAAGTTAATAAATATCTATTGATATTTGTTGATATAAACAAAGCAAAAACATATTATTAAAATTAATTTATGTTACATATATCCATTAATAAATATTTTAAATTCTACACACTTGATCAGATTCTATGGCACTATCAGATCTTGAACCAGCTTTACACTATTGTAATTATCTTGTCTATGGCTATGCTAAAATAGAACCCGCTAATGTTTTACAAGAACCATCGAAAGTGCTTGTGGATGCGAGTACAGGGCGTGATCATTATCGCACAATAACAAATCTAAAAAGTAAATATCCGAATATACGTATACTGCTATCTGTTGGAGGTGATAAGGATATCGATTTGAACTACTTGGAAACCAATAAATATCTACAGATATTAGAAGACGGAAACAACCGTCAAGCATTTGTGGACAGCGCTGTACAGTTACTAAGAACATATGGGTTTGATGGTTTAGATTTATCATGGCAATTTCCAAAGAATCATCCTAGAAAAGTTGTAAGTGGTTTCAAGAAAGTTTGGTCTACAGTCAAAGGCTGGTTTACTAGTACAAAAAAGGTTGACGAGAAGGCAGAAGAACACAAGACACAATTTACGCAATTGACACATGCATTACGAAGTGCCTTTAATTTACATGGTTACCTGCTGACGTTGACTATGTTGCCAAATGTGGACCCAGAACGTAAGTTAATATAAAGTGATAATATAATAATGCAAAAAAATATTTTTAAAATAAGTGTATTTAATTTAATTTTGTTTTTCTCCTCAGTTTTTATAGATATTCCCAGCGTAATAGAGTATGTAAATTTCGTGAATTTGTGCACTTTTGATTTCCAAACACCTGAACGTGATCCTAAAATAGCTGATTATTCTGCACCACTCTATGAAATGTACGAACGCGATCCAACTCACAATATAGAATATAACGTACAATTTTGGCTTAATCGAACAACACAAGCCCATAAAATTAATGTAGGTATAAGCACATTTGGACGTGCTTGGATGATGTCTAAAGATTCTGGTATAACTGGTTACCCACCCATTGATGACACTAGCGGCGCAGCACCTTTGAAAAATTCTACTGCAAATCTGGGTTTACTAAGTTGGCCACAAATATGTACATTAATTCATGCTGATAAAGATTTAACTGGTGAAAAGGCACCATTGAAAAAAGTGGGTGATCCAACCAAACGTTTTGGTACGTATGCCTATCGCTCAGCAGATGATAATGGTAACTACGGTATATGGGTGAGTTATGAGGAACCTGCAACTGCAGCTATTAAAGCAGGTTATGTGCATGCTCGCGAATTAGGTGGTGTAGCACTATTCGATTTAACCAGAGATGATTATAGAGGCGAATGCGCTGGTGAAAGATATCCTATTTTAAGAAGTATCAAATATAAATTGTAAGAGTTATGATTAAAAAAAATAGATATACTTTTTTTTCTCTAAAACTTTTAATATAAATGTGCATATAATTAATCACAATTACTAATCCCGATAAGACAAGCAACCACTTTATTTTAATTGAAAGTATCCTGCAGTCCACATAATGCGTGTCGGCTGCTACACGCCCTGATTTTTTTCACTTCCTTATTATCTTAACCCTTGTAATCTCTAAACAAAGTGCCTCATATTTTTCAGTCGTGTAAGTGCATTATTTTCAGTTAAAACGAAATCGTCTTGTAACTCATTTTGATTGACTAAGACATGAAAGCAACCAAGAACGTAAATAAATATTGATGCCAGATTTTTGTAGCATGAAA